TTAAAATTCCGTCTAGTCGAACTGGTTTCATATTTGTGAACGGCTCAAATTGATATTCATATTTCATTCATTAATTATAATATCTTCAAACGGTAAGTTCATGAGCACTGGATACAGGATTGTATTAGCAAGCTTTCTCATATCGAAGATTTGTTTATGGTCTCACTTCAAGGACAGCAGTGTTATGAAACTGAAGAGAAAAGAACGAAATAAAGCCCGTCACCTCATCCGAAGAATTGTGGTGCTTTGTTAGTGCAGAGGTGGACACAGTTGCGTTACCGCTACGGACTGGTAATCGTGACGAACGATGTTGGTGTGCTGCTGATGCATCGTCGTGGTCATCCTTCATCGCCGTATCCTCTGATTCAGATGCCATCTGAATCGCTGATGAGGATGCGTGTGATGATGGAATACCGGCAGATCTCTTCACTTCAGATGTATTGCTGTCTTGCGTTGGCACTTTATCGCGTGATGCGATCGTTCGTTTAGATGCGAACGTTGGAATGTGAGAAACTGACGAAGACTGATGGTGTTTTTGCTGTTGTCGTTGTTTTTGGGCAGCGAGTGGGCAAGGAACATTCGATGCTTTTTGCTCGTTCCATTCAACTTTATCGGTATCAGCGGTGGCATACGGTAATTTGTCATTTTTTGCATTAACTGATGTTGTTGGGATTGACGANCTGATGATGAAGCTGACGATAATTCAGTTGATTTATTTGAAACGGCAACAGACGGCAACGTTTGTGGCACTAAAGGGAGTGCATACGAAGTAACTGGTGAATCAAGTTTCTGACTTGATGAAACATTTGTTACTGGCTGTTCTTCACATTTGAGCACAGATGGCACGGCTAGTGACGACGATACAACAGAAGGAATGTCATTGTCATTCGTTACTTCTCGTCTTGAGGTGGTAACATCAACTGCGATTGAGTTTGTATCGGCTGTTTTGAGAGGTGATATGGAGGAATTTTGAAGCACTGATGGAGATATAGTGGGTTGATTAGCATGAGAAGAGGGTTGTGGCAGGGCGGTGGATAGAGAAAATGAAGTAGAGCTGAAAGAAGTAGAAGGAGTAGAAATTTGAGGAGACTGAGGAGGATTACAAGGAACATTATCAACTTTTGAGGTAAATATCGGTGTTGTCGTTGATGATGTTGATATTGTGGATGTGAATTTGGATGGTGATGAGATCTGTTGACCAGACGAATTCGTTACATTATTAACGACGGATGAGGCGTTCTGCTGTACTGATAGTTCAGACTGTTTTGATTCCGCGTTGCTCGATGACGGCTAAAACAATTGAGAATTTGCAGCAAGCGTTAGATTTTGCGCAGAAGCGATTAGAAACAAACATGTTCTTTATGGCACACACCATTTAATACCTCAGGTAAATAGTCCTTTTTGGAGAGTTGATACACTTTTTGAAACACCATTTTATAC